GACCGGCGCTCAGTTCATATTGCTTTGAGCTTTATGGGACAGGGGGCGGGCTTAGCAAAATAATAATAATAATAATAAAAACGTATTCCCTACATTATATCACAGTACAGACTCAGACTCAGAAAAATCTTAGATCCACCACTGGTCCTACCCCATAATGAACATTTTTGGATATTTTTGAAACCATTCAATAGGTCAGCACATTCTAATCCTTTCCATTCTGAATACACTCGCCTAAAGGAACACCTGTTCAACTTCTCCTTAATGCAATTATCTATTCAACCAATCACATGGCAGTTGCTTCAGTGCATTTAGGGGTGTGGTCCCGGTCAAGACAATCTCCTGAACTCCAAACTGAAGGTCAGAATGGGAAAGAAAGGTGATTTAACCCTTTGATGCATAATGGTCACTACAGTGGACAGGTACTCAAAAGTGTTATTTATTTATTTTTGCTATTAAGCACAGCTGTTGAAGACTTTATTGCATTTGAGCCCCTCCATTTGGACTTCAGTAAGTCAAGCCAACATATTTCATGTTCAGAATGCACGCTGTCCACTGAGGTGGACATGTAATAAACTATTTGTAAATTATAAAATTTTACAAAAAATATTTGTTCAAATTTGTTTAATTCACACCTAAAGATGAATGAAAAAAATTGTTAAAAAAATCATGGCTGAAAATTTCATAATTCTTGCATCAAAGGATTAAGCAATTTTGAGTGTGGCATGGTTGTTGGTGCCAGATGGACCGGTCTGCTCAGTTACTGGGATTTTCACCCACAACCATTTCTAGGGTTTACAAAGAATGGTGTGAAAGGGAAAAACATCCAGTATGCGGCAGTCCTGTGGGCGAAAATGCCTTGTTGATGCTAGAGGTCAGAGGAGAATGGGCCGACTGATTCAAGCTGATAGAAGAGCAACTTTGACTGAAATAAGCACTCGTTACAACCGAGGAATGCAGCAAAGCATTTGTGAAGCCACAACACGCACAACCTTGAGGCGGATGGGCTACAACAGCAGAAGACCCCACCGGGTACCACTCATCTCCACTACAAATAGGAAAAAGAGGCTACCATTAGCACCAGCTCACCAAAACTGGACAGTTGCTGACTGGAAAAATGTCACCTGGTCTGATGAGTCTGGATTTCTGTTGAGACATTCAAATGGTAGAGTCAGAATTTGGCATAAACAGAATGAGGACATGGATCCATCATGCCTTGTTACCACTGTGCAGGCTGGTGGTGGTGGTGTAATGGTGTGGGGGATGTTTACTTGGCACATTTTAGGCCCCATAGTGCCAACTGGGCATGGTTTAAAGGCCACTGGCTACCTGAGCATTGTTTCTGATCATGTCCATCCCTTCATGACCACCGTGTACCCATCCTCTGATGGCTACTCCCAGCAGGATAATGCACCATGTCATAAAGCTCCAATCATTTCAAACTGGTTTCTTGAACATGACGATGAGTTCACTGTTCTACAACGGCCCCCACAGTCACCACATCTCAACCCGATAGAGCATCTTTGGGATGTGGTGGAACGGGAGCTTCGTGCCCTGGATGTGCATCCCATAAATCTCCATCAGCTGCAAGATGCTATCCTATCAAGATGGGCCAACATTTCTAAAGATGCTTTCAGTACCTTGTTGAATCAACACCACATATAACTAAGGCAGTTCTGAAAGTGAAAGGGGGTCAAACACCGTATTAGTGTGGTGTTCCTGTTAATCATTTAGATAAGTCCCCCAGACATCAGGAACATCGACAGTTTTACCCTTTTCCAATCAAAACTCAAAACACATATGTTTAAATCTGCCTACAACCTCTGATTTTATTGAAATGTTTCTCTCTGTTTTTTCTTCTTTGGGTTTTATTATTGTTTTATTGTATTTTATTACGTGTTTTGTGTAAAGTGACCTTGGGTGTCCTGAAAGGCGCTTTGAAATAAAATGTATTATTATTATTATTATAAGTGTGTGTGAATAAAGCCTGGCCACGACCCAGAAACCTTTGTCGGGCAGAATCTACGGTTGTCTTTTCAACTGTCTCTACAACGCTGCAACATACTCACCGCTATGGATGTCAGTCGACGCGGCAGACCGCCATACAATGTTGAAGAAGATGCAATTGCGTCATTTTTCTAAGTAAAGGACTTAAGTTCCTCTATCTGCTCTTGACTCAGAGAAAAGCCAGAGTCTGAACAGTCCAATGTGGACAAAGCCGTTTCAAACGAGCCACCACCATCTTTGTTGATTCGCTCCGTTGTAGCGCCTGTGCTAATCCCATCTACCAAACCGATAGAGCGCTGCGATTGGCAAGACTCAAAACCGATAGACCTGCTGAGGCTGCAGTGGAGCGTGGCTAGACCGCCCTGCAGAGCAAAATCCTTCTGTCTAGATTTATAGGTGACCCTTTTCTGTATTACTCTGTAAAATTCATCCAGCGTTAAAAGTGTTAGGAATAATAAATCTGATGAACGCTTTCTCCCGAGTGCAGTGGTGCTCACTCTTGGCCCTGGAGCACCAGTTTCCAGCAAGTTTTAGTTTGAACTCTGCTTCAACACACCTGATTTCAATCAGCAGGAGAGTGAAAGGCTTCCGAAGAGCCTGATGAGCTGAATTAGGTGTGTTGGAGTAGAGAAACAAGGAAAACATGCTGGATGCCGACTCTCCGGGACCAGGAGTGAGTACCACTGATCTGCACCAAAGACGCATGGTTTTGTTTTGCTTCCTGACTCTGCCCAGAGACAAATGCAGCTCTAAATGTAGTAATTCACACGTTATATTGAAGTTTTGTGACTCCATGTCACCTTTGTTAATGAAGCTTTAGCTGCTGTAAGCATTAATCAGGATTACTGACATTACAAACTGCACAGCCCTGAATTAGATTTGCGCCCGTCAGCTGAAACCTCTCTGACTCAGAACCAGATGGTCATTAAAACAATCGGGAATGAACCCAGATAATCAAAATCAAGGGTGAAATGTGCTTTTAGCAGCTTTTATCCCACAACTTGACACAGTGATAACCTTTTAATCAGGTTACAGTTTATTTAGGATGTGAGATCATTGCACTGAGGTTACTTTTGTTTAAAGTCTCCCGATGATTAAAAAAAGACTAAGTTGTTTTCCCCAGTATTACATCATTGTTGTTGTTGTTTTATTTTTGTTAGTTTCAGTTCCCCGTCTGCTCTCTGCGCCTTTACCCCAAAGGCCAAGAAAAAGCAGTTCCACTTAAAAGTGATCTGACCTTTGACCTGTATGCAAGAACCGACTCGCTCTGTGTTTTGTGATTCGGTCAGAAATAACATGTTTTCATTTCTGCGCTACAACGTTTCAACTTGTTTACTCCTGAGTGACGCATCCACACACCGTTCGCTGCTGCGTTGCTATGGCAACGCGTCAGGACAAAACGGAAATCTCATCACCGCCTTTGTGCTTTAGTTCCAACATGGCCGTCATTAGAATACAGTCTTATCGCCTTGTCTCTGATGACGTTTTCAGTTTGTACCGTGTTATCACGGTCTAGCGTGATACCAGAGCGAGACAACTCTTTTAAACTTTGAGTCTGTAAGAATGACCATAAAGAGAAACCTGCAGGCCAAGTCTGAAAGGGCAAAGGTCAGCAGTAGGAGCTCTAGACTGTAAAACAGAAACAGCAAAGAAAGAAAATCTGTTTGTTTTAAATAAAGTTTACCAACATTTTCACCTGTTTTTGCCAGTTTTGTGGTTTACTCTGACTTTCTGGATTTGTTGTTTTATGGTTTGCAGCCAAAGCAGCAACAATGTTTTAATATGGGAGCAGTGGGAATTCTAATAATAATAATAATAATAAAGGTTTTCTGCTGTGAGAAACCTCACTTTGTGTAAAACATCTGGGAACGTCAGCTGCACCCCTCCACAAACGAGTGGATTACATTCAAGTTTTCCCTTTTGTGGCTTGTGCAGGATTCATATTTATTTCCTTTTGAGTCCTCACGCCATTCCCAGATTTATTTTCTTCTCTAACCCTTCCTTTGTGCAGAGGGCTTTTCGTGCCCCAACTGTCTGCAAGCCCCAACGTGCCTGTCTTGTTGTGCAAACATCACCGTTATTGGTCTGATCTGCAGATCGCATTCGCATACATTCACTCTGGACATGTGAGATTGCAGCAGAAAGGTACCACTTGTGTTGGAGGGGGTTGCGTGTTTTATTCTGAGGTGTGAAGCTGTGTTTTAAATGGAAAATGCTGACAAAGCGTTTAAATGAAAATGTGCATGTAAAAGAGCTGTTTTGCATCCTGGTGAAAGGGGACCAACTTGTGATTCCTTTTAAAAATCAAAGAAAAACCTGGAAGGTAAAAAAACAAAAACAAAAAAAAAAAACAGAAATTTAAGAAGCTGAAGAAATATTTAAACCTGAAAAATGAATAAAAGTTGCAATTAAATGTGAACATTTGTTTTATAGAATAGCAAAAACAACGGAAGAAGTGAAAGTTTGCACACAACCTTTCTGATGTTTGATTTTAAAGCAGGAATTATTAACATTTATGTTTGGTGAATGATCTATTTTATTCAGCGTTCGTTAGGATGGAACAACATAAAATAAAATGAGCTGGTGACTCACGTTCCAATTCAGCTAAAAGTTCCGCTAATTTTGCGCAGATTTTATAGGTAAATATTTATTTTAAGTTTTAATCTAAAATAAACGTAATTACTTCGCAGTGGTGAAGGTAAATGTCTTCTTCTGCTGAAGAACGTGACAACAGTCGGACTGGGGCTTCATGAATCTTCTTGGGGCTGAAGCGCGCACCTTGGTTCTCCTGAAACTGCGCGCGCTGCGGAACTTCGGACGCGGTGTTTTGGACGTGCTTGTATGAAAGTGGTGTATTGTGGCGGTTTTGGCTTGTCATGATGTTGCGTGCCAGGACGCGGCATCCTGGGCAGACAAATTCACCGTGACCTCGTGGACGCGCGCGCGCATGCATGTGAGTAATCATCACCCTTCACCCAGCCTCCCCCTCCCTCCCCCACCCGCGCGCTTCAGCGGAGCTGCAGCCGCTATAAAAGCCTCCGTCAGAGTCCCGGGAGCACGAAGGAAGCTCAACCTCTCAGGTGAGTGGGACACACCTTCATCTTCCTCAGAACATTTATCTTATTTTACAAACCTGTAGTTTGATGTTTAAGTTTTTTAGGGAGAAATTTACTAATTTTCCCATACTAAGTGATATTTACCTGCACTTCTTAAGAGTTTTCTCTCATAATCCAGGTGTGTGTCTCCATCTATCAACCATGAAGGCTCTGATCTTTGCGCTGGCGGTCATCACAGGTATGCATCTTCCTGCTTCACCACATTGAAGCCTTCCCACTGATCCTAACCCAGCTCCCTTCCACGTTTCCACTTGTGTTTTGAAACAGGCTGCAATGCCCGCTCTGTGCGCCAGGCTGACACCACCCTGGCCCGCTTCGAGGACAGTGTGGAGCGGTTCTGGCAATACATCTCTGAGCTGAACCAGAAAGCTGATGGATTTGTGGACAACCTCAAGTCCTCTCAGCTCACCCGGGAGCTAGAGTAAGTTTCCCTGCTGCTCTGCTGATGTTCATCCACGTTCTTCGGCACCATCCTAACCTCAGTGTTCTGATGCAGCACTCTGATCTCTGACACCATGGGAGAGCTGACAACCTACAGAGATGAGATCCAGACCAAGCTGGCCCCCTACACTGCAAGCTCCACCAACCAGATGTCCCTAGACCTGCAACTTCTGGCCAACAAGCTGCAGACAGACATGAACGATGCCAAGGAGCGCACCAACGAGTACCTGAGGGAGCTCCAGACCATGATGCAACAGAACGCAGACGATGTGAAGAACCGCATCAACACCTACACCAACAAGCTGAGGAGGCGCCTGAACAAAGACACCACGGAGATCAAAGAGTAAGCTGGAAAGTGGCTCTTACATTCACTTCTTTTTATTTACGTGAAACATGAACCTGTCTCTTTTTTTCACTCTTCTCAAGCACCGTGGCAACCTACATGACCGAGATCCACTCCCGCACCTCCCAAAACCTGGAGACCGTGAAGGGCAACGTGGAGCCCTACGTCCAGCAGGCCAGCGACGTCGCCAACCAGAAGCTGAGAGACATCTCCACGAGGCTGGAGACGCAGGCGGAGGCCCTCAAGACCCAGCTGGAGGCCAGCCTGAAGGATCTGAGCACATCCATGGACGGCAAGCTGGAGGAGATCACCGAGCTGTTCGCCCCGTACGCCACCAAGCTCCGTGAACAGTTTGAGGACATCATGGACAAGGTCAAGGAGACTGCCGCTGCCGCCGCTGCTGCTTAAAGACTCGCGTGATGGGATGAGAAGGAATGAATAAATCAGTTTTGTAAAGAAATGAAAGGAGGCGTTAAAGTTACTGATGTTTGTTTTGTGTTTTCAGGATGAAAGAGTTACCAACGTTCTAGATTTCTGAACACAATCATTAACCGTCTGTATTACACTTTGCTTTGCTTTTTTTCTACTTCCAAGTTTTATCCTCAAATGTTTAAAGTTTGTCTCCACTTTTGCTGCTGGGTTGAATGCAGCAAACACAAATGTCTTTCATTTCAATAAATGCACTGAACAATGTTGGAATCGGACGCGTCCGAAAGTCAGTCTGTGAGTCTTTGTTGTGCTTTGGAATAAAAAGGAACTGACTTGATACGAACGGCGTGAGCTGAATGCAACAGCGTGTTGTCATGCTGCTCTCTGGAAGCGCTTGAGCAGGGCGCTGATCAATGCCGAGTGAATAAAAAAATCTAGAAACATATCATCTCTCGTCGTTTCTCTCATCAAACATTTAATATCATCTATTATTTAAAAGCGGGTTTAGTTGCAGTTTGGCTCCACTGAGCCGTTTATTCATCAGGTGGATGAAAGTGAGCAGAGTGTGGAAAAACATTCACTGGATCAACCAATCGTGAGCTTGCTCCATTAGAGTGCACCCCAGGCTGATGACGTCAGAGATCAGGCCACTTTTCATCAGCGTTCTCTTGCGAAACTCCCACCGCATGAGAGGGAAGACGGATGGATGAGACGCTCAAAGTGAAATCTGAGTATGGAATAAACTTTTGTTCCTTGTTTTTGTACTTCTATGCCACCTAAGAGGAGCGGCGTGGAAGTTCGCAAGCACCCTACCTGTTTTCCAGTCCGGACTTGTTCCGATCAGCTTCCAGGATTTGGGAACATTTTGTTCCATCTCTGTATCAATTGAAACTTCATCCACACTGCAACAACTGACTTTCAGGGGAAAACCTTGTTTTTAAACATTTTATCTGATTTATACTCTAAAAAGAAAAATTTCTCTAGAAAAATAACATGACCTAAAACAAGGTGAATATGTTAGATGTGATCCAGATGTTCTCATTTTGTGCACATCAAGCTACCAATGGGTCCTGCAAAAATGTCTTGGCTAGAAATCCAAATTTAGACGTAACTTGCATCAGTTTTTGCAGTGTATCAGTGCATACTTTATTCACGCTGCAAACTTTTAATTATAAAAAATTAATAAAGCCTTGTTTTTAGAAATTTTATCAGATTTTTAGTCAAATATTTAATTTTTTTATTTAAAAAAAGAGTTTAAATTGAAATAAGGTAAATATCTTGAAATATGTTCCAAACCGTCTTGTTTTGAAATAAAAAATCTGCCAAAGGGGAAAGAAAACGTTGCTGACTTGAATTCTTAAAAATGGGAAAAATGGTAACACTTTAGTTCAGGGAACACACAAAAAAAAACATTAATTAGCTGCCAATTAATATGCATATTATTGGACTACTAAGTCTGAACTAGTCATTGTTAAGCACTTATTAACAGCTTATTACTAATACCGTAATTCTAACATTAACTGGCCATAATTTAAGAGTTGTAAGAAAATAAGCCATCCATAACGGTTTGTTGATGATTAGCACACATACTAAGCAGCTCAAATCAATGTGTGGCTTTTAAAGAAGTAATTCAAGGGGAACATATTCTTGCCTTTAAGTGGTTAATAAATACTAATTTACTTGTAACTGGGTATGAACAAAATCTGACTTTAGAATGGGGAACATTTTCTTGCTTACAAGTGGTTAGTTGACTGTTGTTTAGGCTCTATTAACATGTGGAGTTTGGTGTTTATTTACACAATACCACAACATAATATTTTTGGTTATTGTTGCAGAATAATTATTCCCATTGAATTACTTCTTTAAAAGCCACATATTGGTTTGAGCTAATTAGCATGTGCGTTAATCAGCAACAAACCATTTGCTTACAGTTAACAAACCATTATGAACAGCTTATTTTGATACAACTCTTAATTTGTGGCCTGCTAATATTAGAATTACAGCATTGGTAATAAGCACTTAATAACAGCTTAATAATGACTAATTCAGAGTTAGTAGTCCACTAATATGCATATTAATTGGCAGATAATTAATGGTTAATTTGTGTTCCCTAAAGTGTTACTGGAAAAATAAATATTAAAACATTTCTAGCAAAGCCATTTTTGCTTCCCCCATTGGCAGATTTGTTTTCACTTAAAACAAGACAACTTGACCATATTTTACAGTACAGTTGTATTTGCAAATGAGAAATATGTATCTTTTTTTACTTTCCTAAAAATAACTTTCTGCAGTGTGGATGAAGTTTGAATTGATACACTGCAAAAAATGATTTCCAAGAACTAAATAAAAAATCCCTCTTTTTAGATTTTTATAGAAATTTTGATTATTTCTTGCCCAGAAAATTTCTGCTTACCTCATTGGCAGATTGATTGTTTTACACAAAAGAAGAATGTTTGGATCATACTTCTGAAAGAACCGTCAGTCCTGCTATTTTTCTAAAGATTAATTTTTTGAATCAAAAATCAGATCAAATAAAAAATGAGGCTATTTAACTGTAACACTTGTCAGTTTTTGCAGTGTATACATGTTTGAACACAGCAGATGCACACATAAATGTCTTTTTTTTTGTTTTTGTCATGAGATCATTAGTTTCATATCATAACAGTTTGCCTTTAGTGTGCATCTGTAAACTAACTTCATTAAGCTATAAACATCCTGGGTATGTGGCATGTCTTTAGTTTCAGCATCGCTCGACACAAAAAGTTGTAACATCAAAGTCCGAACGCGTACCCGCTGCGTTCGATAACCTCTTTATGTCCGTCAAACAGCAGGATTTCCCCAACTTCAAAGCAGAAGCCAGTAGGAGACACTGTTTGCCCCATTTCCTGTTTTGACCTCTCCATGATGCAAAAATCTGCAGCTGTGTTTTCTTTAATGAAATATACAGTATACAGTACATACAGTATACAGGTCTCCTAATAAGAGAAAACTCAGAATAATAGAAGGATCCATTGAGTAGTAGGTCGGTGTGTGGTTCATGTTTTTGACAGGATTGTGAGTACTGTGATGGGATAATTTATAAATATAAAAAAAAATATTTATTTAATGAAGCCAAATAGCATATTCCATACCAACCTGGTCAGTTTTTTTGTCTCCTACATGCATAATTCTTTCTCTTCTTTTTGATTTAAATGTATATTTGCTCGTGAAACTATACCAACAATTATAAATTTTCCATTTGGACATGTTTGCATGTTACAAAGTGAGATAATTGCTCTGATTTTAGCATTTTTAATATAATTTTTGTTGGAATAAATTTCTGGTTTCTCAAGGATTTGTGCTGTTTTGTTGCTGCTCTTTGAGCAGCCTCAGCTAGGAGAAACAGAGATTGTGGCTGTGTCCAAATTCTATGGCATCATCCACTTGTCCTACCAAGTCCACGTAGGTCAGGTCCCTTCTTGACCACCAAGACGACTGAGAATTTGGACGGTCTGATCTCATTTTTATTCCCGCCCCTACCTCAGCATATGTCATGTTGCCTAGCAACTATGATGGTGCCAAACAGATGTTAAAATTAAATAATGGATAACACATAACTGCCATGCCAACATGTTTGAGTTTTTCTTGACTTATTATGCAAAACAAAAGGCACAACAATACAACCGCTGCCAAGTTTTTACTTTACAAACATTCAAAACTGTAATCCTCTCCCGCTTGGTCCGCCATTCTTACAAGAACAAACATTTCCCGTTCAGTCGTCAGTGAATCCTGGGGTAGCCGTTGACCATGAGGACACGCCAGACCGGTCCACAAAATTCAGGAAACAATTCTGAAATATCCTTTGACTGTGGACGGCCTTGTTGGTTCGCTGCGACGTAATCGGCCTTAAAATGAGTTCTCAGACGGATGCAGCCGCTGGACTTGGACACGGCCCAGACCGGCTCAGACAGATGTGCTGACAGCTAGTCGCATGAGGACAATCACAAAGTATCTTAAATGGTTGTGATTATGTGCTGAATTACTAGAAAACTGAGATTTAATGTGAGACAAGGCAGTTTTGGCTTGCTTTAGCAGCCCCTAGTGTCTGTTTAGTGGAACCAAAAGCAAAACCTATTTCCTCTCTGTGCATTTGTTGTTTTTAACACTTTAACTGCTGAAATATCTCCTCCATTAGTGTCTGCAGAAGTCATTCATCACTGAAGCCCTTTTCAGATGGACATTCTGGAACATTTGCAGACAATTCAATCCGGTTTTTAACCAGAACTGTGCTTTCAGACACACCACTTTTGTACCGGAACTTGTCCTTTCGGCTGCGTTCACACAGCAGGGAAAAGTTCCAGATGTCTGACGACGGCGGCGGGGGGGACGTATGTTAAGAAGAAGAAGAAGAAAATATCATTTCTATAGCGCCTTTCAAAAAAAAAATCACGAGGCGCTTAAGCATAATTCTGCGCACACGAAGACGCATAAGAGACCTGGATGATGAAGCTCAATGGTTAAAGGAATCACTGAAGCGGTGTGAAGCGCTCCGTCGCGCGTCTAGGCGGTACCGTAGGAGGCGAGCTGCCGTGGTTTGCCGCATGCTACAGGAGCGAGCTATCTAGGTGCGCACAGCGTCCCCCGGTCCCCTCCTCCTCCCCCTCCCCCTTGTCCGGAACTCGAACTCACCAGTCTGAAGCAGCCACCTTGTCCGTAACAAGTCCCGACCTGTTACTAGGGGCTTCGTCCGGTTAAATTCTGGAACACGTTATCCGGATGTTTGTATTCAGACACAAAGGTCTTACGGACAGAGTCCGGAACATTTCTGTTTTTCATGGCCTGTCTGAAGGGGGCTTTAGTCAGACAGAGCGGTCTTCATGATCTAAAACATGCAGGAAACGTGCCGGAAGCACCAGCTGTGTCAGCAGAATTTTTGTAAGTGTAACAGGGAATGGACCAGCATTCCGAAGTTGCAAATGCGGTATTCCGGCCACAGAGGGTGGCGGGCTCTGAGTAACAATTCATTATCTATTAGCACATGCTGCCTCCAGAAAATGTTTATAAATACGGAAAAGTTGCAAAGTACATCCATACTTATCTGTTTCTCCCAACTGAGGTTGTTCGTCTACCACTGCTAAGATTTGATTTTTTTGTATTATGATCATGAAATGAAACTATGTAAACTACTCCTTTGAGAGTAACTGAAGTAGTTCTGGATCCTTTTGATCTTGAAAGAAATTCTTAAAAACAGAGAAAGTTGATTTAGGATTATTTTTGTTTCAGTTTGCTGATGTTTTCTTCAAAAGCTCTGCTGGATTACTCCAAAACATGTTTACCACATCGGACTGTGCTAAAGGGCGGCGTATGTGAAGCGAAAGAGTGACTAACTGTTTATCAGCTGCCTAACCCATAAAAATCTCTCCTTTTGAAGCCTGTGTTTATTTTGTGACGGACGTGTGAAGCCCCTACCTAAGAGATTAATCATGACGGATGAAAACAGGAAAACCACAAGCATCCTGCTAGTTCAGCCCTTCTGCTCCATCTGTTCCTATCTGCTGTCTCAACTTAGAAAACTGCAACAACAACAATCTGAAAAAAGTTAAATACAGTGGAGTCATAGCCGGTGACTGCCTGTAACCCCTCCATAGCAGCCCTGCAGAGATGGCTCCTTTCTTTGGAAAACCTCGTCTTCATTCTTTCCACGTCAGACTCCACAGGAGCCTCGCTCAAACACAAAAACAACCTTTTTCCTTTGGCTCGTTATGACAGATTAGGAGGACACCTGATTGGCATTTTCACACTCTGTGCCTCCTGCAATCATTCAAAAGGAGCTCGTCTGCACGCAAGGCCAGGCTTGCATGCACACACCCACTGGTTACTTTCTAACAAAAGACATGGAGATGTGGGCTTTCAGAGGTGATTAGTGAGTTTTAGGTGCTCAGTGGTCGGGTATTCACCATCACAAAAGCAACACCTGGGGGCAAGGTGATCTGGACGACTCGGTGTGAAAACATGGGTAGAGTGATGAAATCTCTTTAACTTTGCTCATGGTCCAGTAAAACGAAGGGTTACTGCAGTGCAACGGCTTCTGTGTGTCACATGTTAAGTGGCTGAAGAAACAACACAGGCTTGTTTAGTCAGTTCCTCATTCAGGTGAAGGAACGTCTGCAGAAAGCAGACATCAGATGTGGAAATGTGTTTTCAGGAAAGCAGAAGAACGGCCTGGAAGGCAAAAAACCGACTGTAGCTCATTAACTGATAATGATAAATGACCCGCACTTGTGTAGAGCCTCTCAGAGTAAGGAGTCCAAAGCGCTTTACACTACAGTGCATCATTCATCCATTCACACACACATTCACACACTGATGGTGATGAGCTACGATGTAGCCACAGCTGCCCTGGGGTGCACTGACAGAGGCAAGGCTGCCCAGCACAGGCGCCACCGGTCCCTCCGACCACCACCAGCAGGCAAGTCAGGTTAAGTGTCTTGCTCAAGGACACAGCAGCAGAATTCTCTGTCCGGAGCCAGGATTGAACCTGCAACCTTCCGATTACTGGACAACCCGCTCAACCTGCTGAGCTACTGCTGCCCCCAATTACCCTAATTACCCCAATGTTACCAATGTTGATAACACTTTACAAAATAGGTCCTTTTATTAATGTTACTTACACCATTATTAAGTATTAGTAAACTACTAAATAAAGCATTAACAACTGCTTTACCATTTTATGTAAATCATTACTAAGCACATGCACCCTGGGCCTTTGGACACTTAATAGTTAATAAAGATAACATTAATAAAGGGAATCTTTGTTTATTAGTACTTAATAATGCATTAAGTAACGTAAATAAAGGAATCAAATTCTGATGAAGTTGTGTTTGGCATCAAAACGTTAGTGTGTAGTTTTGTGATTTTGCACCAATTAAAAACTTTGCTCACTTGAGTGCTCCAGCACTCATAGTGCACAAATAAAAAAAATTATGTTTTTATTTTGTTCTTGTGAAGCACTTTGTGATTTATATCTTGAGAGGCGCTATGTAACAGGTTGTTTTCTTCATCTTCATTTGATTGCCCTTCAGCTGTTGCAAGCACTGATGCAGTGCATGCATGGCAGCTGACGTTAATAAAGGGTTTCTTTGTTTATTAATGCTTAAAAACACACTAAGTAACGTTAATAAAGGGACTCTTTGTTTATTAATGATTAATAATGCACTAAGTAATGTTAATAAAGGAACTCTTTGTTTATTAATGCTTAATAATGCAATAAGTAATGTTAATAAAGGGACCCTTTGTTTGTTAATGCTTAATTGTGCACTAAGTAACTTAATAAAGGGACCCTTTGTTTATTAATGCTTAATAGTGCACTAAGTAACGTTAATAAAGGGACCCTTTGTTTATCAATACTTAATAGTGCACTAAGTAACGTTAATAAAGGGACCCTTTGTTTATTAATGCTTAATAGTGCACTAAGTAAAATTAAGAAAGGGACCATTTGTTTATTAATGCTTAATAGTACACTAAGTAACGTTAATAAAGGGACCATTTGTTTATTAATGCTTAATAGTGCACTAAGTAACATTGACAAACGGACCCTTGTTGTAAAGTGTCTCCTAAGTGCAAATAAGTTTTTTTTCTTTTCTAAAAATTGACAACAGTCACCTTCAAGATATTTTGTTTTAAGCTCAGTAGCTGTGCTTTTGTTGAGAAAAAGCCACAGAAAGTGGAGAAAGGCTGGTTATTTAACACTCCTGAACTCCAGCTGCCATATCATCAAAAATCAAGTCATCCCCAATAAATGTGTTTGTCCTCGTTTGCCAACACTTCAGGTCCAAAGGAGCTTTCCAACAGCTGCTGCCTGTAATCCTATCACTGTTGAACTCTGTTCCTTGACACGTCTCTGCTTATCTCTTCCCACTCTTCTTGCTGAGACGTCAACTAACGCGTTTATTTTCACTCTTTTGTGTTAATGAAATCATCATCCACTCTGATCTGCTTGATATTTAAATCACCCCTCAAAGTTTATTTGATTCCAAAAGCTGATGGATTTGTGTTGATCAATAAAGTGGGCCGAGCCGCCTCAAGGCCGTCGCGCGTGCTCGTTGACCCAAATCTGGCGTGTTGCGCAACCCTCCCAAAATCAGTGTGTATAAAAAGGAGAACACGCATTTAGTCACCAAGACACTCTGGTTTTTTCTCCACTGAGACAGAAAAACAGGTACGTTTAAGGTTTTGCCGCTGTTGAAACAAATGAATGCTTTCATGGACAGTGAATGTGAAATTTAACTTTTAACAATAAAAAAGCTAAAACCTGAATAATGAACAGGTCTTGTTGGCTATGAAGACTGTTCAGCTTTGTGGTGTTTTTGTGTCTTTATATCATTTTCAGTTTTGGAGACAAATTAAAAAAAAGTCTCTTCTTCTCCTCCACAGGGATTCACAGCCAAGATGAAACTGTACCTGGCAGTTGCCGTGCTGATGCTGGCCTTTGTGGCATACACAGGTAATTCCCAACTATGCATAAAAACAACAAGAAAAACACATTTCTTGATATGAACACCTGTTGTGATATTATTTGCTGCTGCTCTGACTTGCAGAGGCCCAGGACGCCACTGGATTTGCCGATTTCCAAGAAAAAATCACAGACTTTGGCAAGACGTTCGCTGAGAACGCCAAGACCCACTTTGAGACAATCAAGAACAGTGAATTTGCCCAAAACACACAGTAAGACAGCAATTATAAAGCAGAAAAATCACGTCTGTTTGTGTCTGTTTGTTGCAACACATTCTCACACCCAAAGCGTCAAAATATGACGCGTGTGACCAAGCCCCAATATATGATTATTCGGGATGCCCCAGCGCATTAGGAGAGGACGCACTAGACCATCTTGTGAACTACTTAACCTCCCCTCACCCCAACTCTAACCTTAACTCAGCTGAGTTACTGAGTTAATGTTAGGATTGGGGTGAGGGGAAGGTTAAATCGTGGAGTAATGTACGTTTGACCGTGGGCGTCAAATACAGACGCCAGCGGTGCCACGTGTCCCTGCGTGTCCTTGATCGTCCTCCTGTTTGGTTTGTTTGTCTTATTACTGCTTTTCCAACATCCACAGAAACTGGTTCACGGAGCAGTTCCAGAAGCTGAAGGACCAGCTCCAGTCAAACTAAACTTGATGTCTTCTGCACCGGTTGTCGACCTCCTCTTCATCTGGGGGTTGATTTGAGAATCTTGGCTGTAATCTTTGTTGGAAAAATGTGGAAAAAGTACAATAAAATATGTCAAAATGTGAAAAATAAGTATGATTGAATAATATTTTTTTCAACAAATAAAGATTTTTAGGACACAAGATCTCACCAAGGGTTTGAAATGAAATGAATGGCTAGCCGGTCAACATTGTAGCTTTTTACGCACAAACCCACAAATCAAACCCGATTCCATGTAAACATTCAGTCTGGTTTTTGTGGGGGATAATGAGATCAAATGCAACAAAGCACTAGGGCCACCGTCTCAACCCTCTAGGAGTTTCTCTGCTTCGACGTGCCTGATGATGATCATGAGCTTGATGATATGCTGATTAGATGATTTAAATTAAATGTGCTGGATAACGACCCTCAATGACCAGGGTTAATGGCATCAGTGGATTTTGTTTCAGATATCAGTTTCATTTACTACAATCTAAAGTTGTTAAGAAAACATTTTCCACATTTTCAAAAACTACAAAGAAAACTAACTATTTTAATGCATTTTCAAACATTTTCACCTTTAACCCTCCCACTGTCCTCATGGGTGATCCCGCCAGGAAAATTAACCATCGAGCAGGATTGATGGTTTATCCCTTGAGGTCATCGACATTAATATATGGACAATGGGTTTCCATAGGCTCCAATATCACTTTTTTGAGGCCAAATGGGAGGTGGCCACCACCGCCATTTTGACCGTGTCACGGGTTCCGTCAAGCCCAGAATATTCCATAAAAGAGAAGAGAGGTGGAGCTGAGGGTGGGGCTGTAAGGCTGGGATCAACTGACGACACCCGGTCAAACTAGCTACAAGCTAACCTGAAGCTAACCCTGGCTAACCCAAAGCTAACGTGGAGGTGGGAGCCAAGCTAACAGAGGTAGCAGCCTAGCTACAACCAGAGTTAACTGTGCACAACACCAGAGCTTCTGAGTCAGAGATACGATGGGCTGACCGCTGGGTAAAACCGGGTGGAACACAGAGGTCTCAGAGACCTCCACAAGCCGGCAGCCGCACAGCAGACAAGCACCGCTGCGATCTGAGATGCGCAGAGCTGCCGCTGGGGAGAACCGGGTGGAAAGGTTTCCATCCCAGAGCTCCACAAGCCGGCAACCCGCGCATCAAACAGGAGCCGCGATCAGACAGAGATGCACCGAGCTGCGGGGAGGGGAGAACGGGTGGAAAACATCGGTCTCCTGAGAGCTCCACAAGCCGATAGTCGGAACCCAGCTCCACCAACATGCTATTTCAACCCATTTTCTAAAGTGCAGCATTATGTTAAATGCACTGGGTTTTACCCTATTACATTTAAATTTCATGGTTAAACAGTACATGTTAAAATCTAAGCTCAGCTCGGCAGTGACCTAAAATACATAAATATAATTTTACTTACCAAAAAAAAAAATGAAGTGGAGACTCCTTGGACGCTCTATTAGTGCAATTAAGGCCACAGCAAGTCATTTTGTCCAACAATTGCACAAAAATATCCAAACAAGAATACACAAACACAGAGAATCAAAATCCCGGAGCAGTTTCCAAGCCAGACCGAGGTTCTACTGAGGCCTTTCCCTGGAGCTAGCTCTGTGGTCACGTGGGTCGGATGCTCATTAATTATACAGAATTATAGGCTTTTAATACACTTAAACAGAAGAGTGAGAAAAAACTCACCCCCCTCAGAGTTGTCATGAGTGTAAACTAGATAATTTAAACCAAAAACATGTTTTGGTACCAGGCTGTAAACATGTTTATTTCTGCTGTGAAATTGGTATTTTTAACATGGGAGTCGATGAGGATTTGCTCGTTTCTGACACCAACCCCCAGCGGATGAGGGTGGAACTGCAATTTTTGGTGCTTCCGGGTTTGACTCAATTTTAGAGCTCCATTGTGGGGGCTTGCTTGAGGTCCATGTGGCAGGGGTGAGGAGTGAGCACCACCTCACCCCTGCCACATGGACCTCAAGGGATAAACCATCAATACTGCTCAACGGTCAACTTTCCTAGTGGGGTCACCCATCAGGACAGTGGGAGGGTCCTATAAATAAACTTCATCCTTGTTTAAAACGTACAAACTATCGTTAAATTAGGAGATCTGAACCCTTGAGATGTCCGTTTGATTGTTACATGACACCGTTTTTTTATGTTTTTGGTGATTTCTTCTCAACCGGGTTAAATCTTCACAACCGTGGTCAAAATCACATCAAATACGAAGTCTGAAATTTTAGCCTCTATATTCCACAACTCTAATATTGTTTATTGAAATTAACAGAATTGCATTATTTACCAAAAGACAAATGTTGGCTAACATTTTTTTTCTGTCATCAGTCTTGGGTCTGCCAATAATTAGCCAAAATATCAACTGTGATCCAATTTGAATTATTGTGTGAGATTCCATTTAAAACTTGTACCCGCTTAAGTCATTTCAGGATAAAAATGCCCCATTGGGTTGGAGTGAAACCCCGTTTGAATTCCATAAAATATAAAAACATTTATTTTGTGATGATGTTTCGTTTTTGAGAAACGTAGAAAACAAATGTCATTTTTCTGTTTGTTTAATTGAGCTGAGTAGGCAGTAAATTAAAACATGTCCCCTTTTCTTGATGCATGTCGCAGGGGTCACTGTGGAGAAAAAAAATGTTTATGCATCTTCCTAACCTGCAAGCTCTATATGTAAATATAGTCCACTGAAACTGCTCATTCACTATAAAATGGTCTCTGCATGCAACTGAACAGCACTACGACCAATCAGAACAACAAACGGTGTGACGTATTTGTTGCCACAGTCAATGGAAGATGTGGTGCGTTCAACAACAACCTCAACCTCAAAGGATTCCCCTGGAGGAGCTGGTCAAAGTGGCTGGAAAAGGCAAGTCTGGGCCTCTCTGCTTAAGGTTGGTTTATGCTTGACGCGTCCGCGAGGTCCGCATGGCTCCGCGTGGCGAAATTGCGTCATTTTAACAACCACGCCCCTCCACCGCATCTCTGCACATCCCCAAATTTCCGCAATGCGCACCTAGGAAAATTTCTAACCACGCGGACGGTCGGACGCGGAAAAACATGGCGGACTGGCAAGAACTAGTATGGCAGAGGTTCGTAAATACAACATTTGTATGATTCAGCTCTCAGAGATCACCGTGATCAACACGTTGTTAATAATTCTTGGAGAGAAATAGCTCGCACTGTCGGAAAAGACGAGGACGCTGTTGAAAATGCTGAAATGCCATGTTGTAAACAGTCATTTTTACTTCTACTATGGTGTAGTGTTGGATGCATGCCGTAGAGCTCCATGCTGCCCCCTACAGTTTGGTAGAATATTGGCTCACCGCAGAGACAAGCCGCATGAACCATAAACGCTGCGAGTTAGCACGTTCCATCCGCGAGCTGCATCACCAAGCGGAAAGTGAATGCGTCAAGCATAAACCAAGCTTTAGGCTGCTGACCCCGCGACCGACCCCAGATAAGTGGAAGACAATAGATGAATGGATGTTAATACAGTATTATAATAGAGGGATGCACGTGTAAAAATACACTGCCTGGCCCTTAAAAAGTCACCACCTGGATATTAGGTATTTCTCTTATCCAATGGCACCATCTAGCTGCTGACAAGCAAATTACACAAGTAGTCTCTCAATCCGTTTTTTAAATGGCAACTTCACATTTCTTGTTTATAAATGTACTTCTGTAGCCAACAGAGCTAAAACACATTGTTTTACAAGTATTATCATGTTATGCTGTGTTTTCATATATTTATATTTTAAAGCCTTACTTGTCTGTGAAAAGTTCATCAGCTCTGCATCAGCCGAGGTACTTCCTTAAAAGTGAAGCATGTAAGAGGTAGTCTAACGCTATTGGTTAGCTCTTGTCGGTGCTCAGTTTTCTAGGGGCAGGGGGGTGCTTACATTATATCACGGTACATGATGAGACAATCACTTTTATGGATTAATGAAAAATCGTACACAATTTCAGAAAGGAGAAAACTCCGGTAAGCTGCTTTAACTGAGCAAACAGGTAGGAGCCTCCTATTGGATAATTACTGCAACAAGTTATTTAACCCAAACCGGTGCAACAAGTTGCTTCTCATTTTTTAAACAACATGTGGAAAGACACTTCTGGTGGTCGTGGAAAAGACGTTAGTCTGTGTGAGAAGGTTCAGATCTTTGGCATCAAGCAGAGAAAACATCTAAGGAGGTTGTAGAAACGACTGAAACTGGGTTAAGAACTGTCCAACGCATTTTTGAAACTGGTCTGATGAGTCCAGATGGACCCTGTTCCAGAGTAATGGGCTCGACACACGGGAGGCGACATCGCCTCTCCTCCATTCGTTTTCAATGAGACATGAGCGACAAAGCGTGATCGCGGGTCTCCCTCCTACCAAGCAAAACGCGAAAAACGTGCGTGTGAAAATTTGCGCTTGTACACGTGTCGTGCACAGGCGACTCAGCGACGCGATCCAAGAAAGTTGAAACATTTTCAACTTTTCATCGCTGTCGCTTGGACAAGGACCAATCAACAGAGGTTTCATTCACTGACCAATGAGCAGACAGGATGCTCCGTACATCTCCGAGCAAACATGGAGGAGAAGTTGATTATTATTATGTTTTATAGTAAAATCAGAAGTAAGATTTCACATAACTCTAGCAGCACCTTGTGAAACATCATATCTACCACTTTTTAAACTCTGAACTGCTTAAATAACCTTAATTCCCTCCAACCTGACACAGCCAAACAAAACAACGGAAGTTTCGATTTCGCCATGGAACAGAACGTGTAGACGGCTTTGCCGCTGCCGCGGGTCGCCTCCCGTGTGTCAGGTAATAAAAGCGACGGCGACAAATTTCGCTGATCACGGTCGTTTGTCGCCTACCGTGTGTCGAGCCCATAATGGTGCAGCAGGGTAAGAAGAGAGGCAGATGAAGTGATGCACCCATCATGCCTAGTGCCTACTGTACAAGCCTGTGGGGGCAGTGTTATGATCTGGGGTTTCTGCAGTTGGTCAGGTCTAGGTTCAGCAACAGGATGTGCTCCAAGAATGAGGTCAGCTGACTACCTGAACATGCTGAATGACCAGGTTATTCCATCTTTCCTGTTGGTACGGGCATATTCCAAGATGACAAAATGCCAGGATGGGGCTAAAATAGTGAGAGTGGTTCAGGGAGAATGAGACATCATTTTCGCACATGGATCATCCACCACAGGGTCCAGACCTTAACTCCGCTGAGAATGTTTGGGGTGTGCTGGGGAAGGCTTTGTGCAGCGGTCAGACTCAACATTAATGCAACACTGGATGAAAACAAATCTGGTGACGTTGCAGAAGCTTGTCGAAAGAAAACTTATCTGTCCCGGGCAGCTGTGGCGGTATCGTAGGCACGTCTGATCAAAGATAAATAATGTTTATTTGTGTTAATTGCAGGTATCAAAGTGCAATCGCCAACATGGCTGCTTTTCCGGCGTTTCATAACCTGTAGGATAAAGTCACTGTTTATAATGAGTTAATAATCCACCAGCTGTTCAAGTTCAACGACAGAGATTAGCAGCTTGTGCTGCTAACTCTTCTCCTGTCGCACCGACTTTGGCAGATTTTCTTAAAAGATGGTTTTCAGTTTGTCCCGATAAAAACTGTTCCATGTCTCTTCGTACTGATATCTGAGACAGTCTGCGATTCTTACCAAAACTCCTCAAAACAACCAACGTTTGTTTAAGAAAGTTTTGCCTTCTCATTACTGCTTCTAAGTATTAAAATATAAAAGATTTTTTAAGAGTTTTTAAGACATTAGGCAATGAGAAAAGCTCTTCTCTAATTCAACTTGTAACAGTATCCAGTGAGGAAAGAATTCAACAACTAAATCAATTGTGTGGTGGACTTTAGTCGTGAAAAGGTCTCGTCTGAAACACGTCGCTCTTCTGTGAAACTTTGCCTGATCGGTACACATTTCAGCCACCTAACAGGGTGAGTTATCTAATCCAACGGGGGCCTCATGAGTTATTGAACTGGGCCGGTGCTGACCTTAACGGCTCCGGATGTGGAGCTTTAAAAAGGAACAAACTTCTAGCATCATCATTCAACTTTTGACACGAAATCCTAAAACTTTCCATTAATAAATAAAAATAATTAGGAACGTACGATATATCGGCATCGATATCAGTATCGGTCGATGCAGACGATAATGACAACTGATATTTTTCCCATCTTGTTTGTATCTGTTTCAGAGGGTGGGGTGGGGGTAGGGGTGTGATGAGGTGGAATTTGGTCATGTGACAGAGGTGGTAATCATCTCAGACGTGTAAAAGTGTGTCGTGTGTGTATATGATAGCATAAACATTTAATATAGTTTGCACCTTATAGAAATAAAGCAAAAAAAAATCAGCTTACATGAAGTTCAGTCTATACAAAATCTGTGATTTTAGAAGCGTAAATGTCAGCGTCTATGTATTTATCGGCATCTGTTAGTATCGGTTATCGTCTATAACAGCGATATTAATATCAGATATGGGTATCGGCTCAAAATGTCCTATCGGTGCATCCCTAATCATAATAGTTCCGTTTTTCTTCCTTTAAAATGGGAGATCGTGACTTTTTCGCTTGAAAAAAGCTAATTAGTCTGAGAAAAGTGGCGAAACTCGATGATTCTGCTATAAAACATTAAAATGAAGGAGGAAAACAACCCAACTGGATCGATGATCATTCGATAGGGACCAATGTGCACGCTGCTGCAGCCACTGAGTGCAAATAAAGCAGCCTGATAACAGTCGACTGGTTTAAATCCCGTTGAGGAGACACGGAGGAAATGGTAAAAACACACCCTTGTTTCTACGTTTTATTTTTGTAACCGTAAAATCAGCACGATTCAGTTTAAATCTGAAGATAATCAGATGCTTTTACATGTTTTGGACAGATGCATGTTCAGGCGGTATTTGTTCTCCTGCTTCTGCTCCAAGGTATGACTTCAAAACTCAAACATCCAACATGCTTCAAATAAATTTCTTCATGTCTCAGTCCTGAGTTTATCTCCCTCCCAGCATGTGAACCAGCTGCGGCACAAACTCCAGACCCTGCAGAGGCTCCAGGAATCCTGCAGAGAATATCCGAGAAAATCGGGTATTTGTTATTTTTTAATGATTTAACAACATTTCATTCACAAAACTGTCTCCTGCCGCGGTAAAGCTTCCACCTGAGTGTAACTGTGTAACGTATTTATCTGCTTTTAGTGAAACCAGAGCTAAAATCTGGTCTCTGGGGGAGGCGATGGTTGAATTTGTTGGAACTTACTATGAAGATCACATCCAACCAAAGACTGAGAGCTACGCAGAGTGGGCCTCTAACATGAGGAGTTCACTGAGACAGAAGATCTGGAGCCCTCTTGACGACTAGATGCCTTTTAGCAACTCGTCCAACTCATCATCACAACGCAGAATCACAGCTTTGGGCCGTTTACTGTGGCGCTTGTGCCACCCAGCTTTGCTGTTTCTAAAAATAAAGATATAATCCAAAATAAACCTAAATAAAAACATCTCTGTTTGCCTCAATCTTATTTTAATGATTTAATTATTTTTTAAGATATAAAATCTTGAGATATGGGTTCATCAAAACATCTAAACAAGAATTCTTGGACGTTTGGGCATGTTTGTGATGCACTTTATTGCAAGTTATTAACCCTTTAATTTCAGCACCAAAAAGAAACCATTTTCTTTTTTGCATTTTGTTTTATTTGGAGCAATTCAGGTTAGATACGGTAACAATAATGTAAAAAATTGTTAAAATAAAAGAAACAATAAAGTATGGTAATGATCTTTATCCTTTAATTCAGTCATCTCTTTATTTATTTGGAATATTTTTAAGTTCAGTGCAACTTCTGTTAAGATCCAGGTACTAAAGCATGCTCTCTTAAGGCGGACCTGCCTATTTATTCCACTAAACCCAAAAGTAACAAGGAAAGTTAAGTAATTTGGCAGATAGAAACTCTAAAAGCACAGTTTATTGTCATGATGCAGTCTGTCAAAGGCTACTGGGATGAAAGGTGAAGCCTCAGGAGTCGACGCGACTCGTCTAGACGGATTCTGACTGAAGCTCTCTGAGCAGACGCTGCTGGGTCTGCAGGTAAAGCGATAAGAAAACGCTGATGTAATCAGTCTTATCTTCTAGTCCTGCAGCTAACGACAAATGAGCTCACTTACATATATTTTACTCAACCCAAAAACAAATATAAGAAGAACGTTTCAAATATTTTATGAACATCTGCAGAATCAGGAGGATCGTTTTTCCAGGGAATGCAGAAAACGTTGTTTCAGAAAAGTTACACAACTGCTGAGTCTCCTTTCCACATGTGCACAGTATGTTCACGTCCACTGGACTTTGTTAAGGTGAACGCGGGTGGGTGCAAGTGTGCGCGTGTGTGAGTGTGTGTGTGTGTGCACGCTGACACCAGATGACGTTTGTTTGCAGTCCCCCCCTATATCATCCCATCCAGATGTGCGCACTGGTTTACAGACAACTCGCTTCCAGAGAGGACTGTCACTTCTTGGATCCGTACATCAAGCACACCAGCAGGTAACGTCTCCAAAGCAACGACCGTTGCTGCTTCTTTCCAAACACTTTTCATTTTACCGTTTTCAAATTTTGCTCTTTTATTTCTCCAGAAATGAACGCCAAATTAATCCTGGCACTGGCCCTTGTTCTGCAGGGTGAGGAAACCTTTTAGCCGTCTTTATCTAACATTTTCTATTTGTTTTTCTTGTTTTTTGTGTAAAAACGATCACATTTTACACGTTTGTTTCATGCATTTTTCTTTGTTTTGCTTTTCTTTTACACATAATGACACCAGCACTTAATCAGATGATGATACGCAGGATAAATGATTATATTTAACATGCATTTAGCTGTACGAGCTTGTTTTGGTGACTTGCAAACATTTGTCCTTCCAATGCAATAGGTTTTTTTCATGATTAAAGCTGGTTCCTGCACACAGACACCGATGGTTCTGCAATTAAAGGTCTACCTGTCGTAATTCTTTTCAGCCTCCGTGAGCTTCTGTGAGATTCCTGCACCCTCCCAGGAGCTGGTTCAGAAATACGAGTCGTTGAGGGACACCTTCTACAGCAGGCTGCGGAACGCGTACAGCAAGCTGCAGACCACCGTGGGAGAGAACGAGCAAGGGCAAAATGCACAGAACTTTATCGAATCTCTGAAGGACAAGCCTGAGCTGCAAGCTATTGTCAAGGTTGCAAGGTGAGACTTCAACGAGGTATCTTTAAAAAGTGCGCAAATTTATTGTTGCTTGCTGTGAAACGTCCCCAACGACAGGCGTTGAACCGTTTGGTTTGATGTAGGAGGTTTTTGAGAGTCCTCTCGTCTTTTTTCCAGCGGTCTGGGTGCAGAAGCACGCCCTCTTGTCGACAGAGCCCGCACCTCGCTGCTGGGTTTGTACGAAGCCTACCTGCGCCCCCATGTTGGCACCGGACTGAGCGACACCATCGACCGAATCAAGGTCTACCTGGACGAAGTCATGCCCGCTCAGTAAAGAAAAACCAGCAGTTTTAGATTTTAGCCGATAGAATCGACACCGGTTTAGGCTTGAGAGGAACGAGATTCAGTGCAAACACAATTCTTTGCCTGTTAATAAATCAGCATTTTAATTAATAAATCACTGCAAACACTATCTATGAAAGGTCTGCATGTACAGTATTATCTGTTTGATACACTAACAAAACTCTGTGTGTTCGTGTGTGTGTGTGTGTGCGCGTGTGTGTGTGTGTGCGCGTGTTCAATAAAATTAATGGAAACTATTTGAAGTGTTCTTATTGAGCAGAGAAGTGGTCAGATATCACGTAGCTCGTTAGGAATTATACATTATTCCATTAAAGAACTGAACATTTGGTGGGATTGTGCATTAAATTGTAATTCTTGACTGAATTTAGGTCAAATAAATAAAATGTAAGTTTTGCAAAAAGAAAAAAGTTAAAGTTTCTGTTAAAATGAACTTCAAGAAGATAAAATTAACTGATCAATAATCCAAAATGTGTCAAAGTGTTATAGTCATGATTTCCTGAGTGTTTTAATGGGATCAAGTCCATTCTTTTTTGAAATAGCAGGTGCTACTAATCAACAGCGGTGCAACTTTTTATCTCATTTGTGACAAAAAAGTGCCTGAGATGTTTTATTCTTTATTTTTATAGCTCAAACAAACTAAATCCCTCAAAACAAGACATTCCACAAAGAAAACCCATGCATAAAATGACTTTTTAAACATTACGGCGAGCCTGACACGGCATCTGGGGGCTTTCTTTAGCTTCAGCTGGATGGAATCAAGCGCACTTTGAACCCCACAGCTGTCTGCAGCTGGACTAGAGCTGACCTGAGACCTGAGGTCACAAGCAGCGCGACATGTGAGGGTGAATCACATGACCGTCTGCTGTGTTTACTCAGCCCTCGATCAGCATGTGCGCTCAGAGAAAAAGCACGAGTTGTCACGTTGAGGTTAGGAGGTTTGGACCCAAAATGCAAGAACCCAGAACGACACAGGCAGGAGCGGTTTGCAAAAATCAGAATCCTTTATTTTAGGAGGAGTGACAAAACCTCGAGAGCACAGGAGGCAACTAGAAAAACGCTGAAGTAAGAGCAATGGACCACCAAACACCGAGACCAGACAGGGTTATACACACATGGGCTGGGTGATTAAGGGAATCGTGCACAGGCATGGACGTAATGTTCACTTTAGAAGTGTGTGGCGGGGGGGGGGGGGGGGGGGGGGGGGTATCTTCAACACAAACGGTTGTTTTCCGCTTGGTCTTGGAGCTCAACCAGTGTCAATTTAATATAGAGTAATGTTGTTTTTGGATGGTAAAAAGTGCAGGGGTCAAAACTTGACTTTGGAAAAAGTGGGGGGGGGGGGGGGGGGGACATTTCCCCCCTGTCCCCCCAAAAAATTACGTCCATGTGCACAGGTGAGACTAATAAACCGAGAGGAGGAGCAGAACCGGGCAGGGGAGGAGACCAGACCTAAATGGGGAAGGAAAGAGTTTAAAGCAGACGTGGGGCACCCTGGTCCTCGAGGGCCGGTATCCTGCACGTCTTTGCCCCGACACCTCTGATTCTGTGGTTGATTCGCTTGTTCAGCAGCTCATCGGGCTCTGCAGAAGCCCGTTAATCGCCTGCTGATTGAAATCAGATGTGTTGAAGCAGAGTTGAAACTTAAATACGCTGGACACCGACCCTCGTTGGACCAGGGTTCCCCACCCCTGCAGTAAACTAAAGGGAGATGCAACTTCTAAACATGCAGAAAACTAAAGAAAGGTGAACGGATGAATCTGAAACTAGAAACACTCGGGGTCAAATACGGGAACTTAAAGAGACCAGAAGAGGAGATCGAACGCAGGGGATCTTGATACTGAACACTAAATAAGAAGTGGGTGGCTAGGGGCAACACGAGGGAGACCTGAGGGGGGTGGGGACCACAGGGACACAGAACATGACAAACGTGTCGCTTAAATAACCTTTTAAAATTTTAAGTACTGCAATTAGAAAAACATCTGTAATGCTTAAATAACAATGTGAGCATACATTGATGAATGCATCATGAGTGGTTGTTGCGTGTTTTTGTGCACTTCAAAATGATAAAAGTGCATTTATTTCCTTGGTTTTTGCAAACAATATATTTTATTAATAAACCTGTGCAAATTTTTGATGACTAACTTTATTCTTTACTATCTCGACCTTTCACATACTCTTCATACTGAGCTGAATTAGGAGAAAATTGTGCTGCCAGGAACCATTAGTACTTATTAACCTGAGTCAAAATATTTACTATTAATATCTAATCACAGCATCAAAGCCAAAGGGAGAAAAAAAAACCAAACTAACCCTTAATTTAGATTTAGGTTTCTATTATTTTAATGGATTTTCTCATTATTTATCAAAAAGGGCAGAAATAAAAGTCACGTTTGAGAGAACCATCTGGAATATAACTGTCTCAACTTTTATGTTATTTTTTTCTATAAAAACAACATTAAGACAAAAAAGTGCAAATTTGCACTTTTTTATGAGGTTGCTTTCAGGTCCTGTGTAGTAAAAATGCAGCAGCTTTTGGTTTAGGGAGGAAAAAACGTGACAGCTGACCACACAGTTCCATCGTGGCGAGCGTTTCTTGTTTCTGGACAAGTGGGGAGATGTTTTCTCTCTTTTCACGTTTTCATTCAAGCAAACCTAATTAAAAAATGTAAAAAATCACAGAAATCTTTGGTTTAATTACAAACCAACGTATTTATTACTTTGTCTCCCGATCCAACCCAGCGAGGATGTCTTGTTCAGCGCTCGACGGACCCGGGACCATCCTAACAGGACTGCTGTCGTGTGGTTTGAACGCATCGCCTCCATTATGCACGTAACCAGGGCTGTGCTGCAACTCACCGCTCCGTACTGGGACCTCATTCTGGTCCGATCGATCAAACTACGACTTTGACTCGTTTAAACGTGCGTTCACACTTACAGTTATGTAGGTTTTCTCCCCTCTGCAGCATCAGATCTACAGATCTGAACCCGACAAAGACAAAATCTTATTTCTAAAGCGTCACACACATATGTAACGGGCGCATATCAGACAACAGCGCTGGTTTATCTCCCACAGAGTGCACTTTGGCTCTGAGAGCAGCAAGTCAACACATTAACACTCCTATATAAACAGCTGAGGCCCGCGGTGCAGCCGACTCCGTCGTCTTGTCACAACCTTTTCTGGACGGGAACAGTGAGTACCAACACGTTTGCTTCACTCGGTGAACGATTTAAAGGTGATTTTATTTTTATTTAACTGAAACTGGACTGAAGGCAGGATGTCGGACAACATATAAAACAATTAAAAGCTTTGTTTCCATGGCAGATAAGAGCAGTTATGGACTGTTAATAAAACCGTATGAAATCGGCTGAGTTTGAAAATCTACAACGATGTCTCACCCTGGTGGATAAAAGTGGTTCACGTGTGTGTGTGTGTGTGTGTGTGTGTGTGTGTTCACAGATCTAAAGCATCATGAACAAGCTGCTGGTTGTTACTGTGCTTGTTGCCTTTCTTGCTCTCAGTAAGTGTGTTTTCGTCCGTTTTACCGTAGAACTGTTGTGTCCAATGAAAAGGTTGTAGGAAGTGTTGACCTTTAACCCCCTCACCTGTTCTGCCCCCGTCTCTTTTCATTTTCAGGCGTCGAAAGCTTCCGTGTGCCAAGGCAGGCCGAGGAAGACGAGGGGACTCTGACCCAAATCACGGGAGCCGTTAAGTCCTATTACGACAGCGCTGTCAACACCGTCAGCGGCTACGTGGAAAGCATCAAAGATCTGAAGCTGGAAGAGAAAGCAAAGTAAGAGATTTCAAGATTGTCTCAAGTCAACAAATAAATGAATTTGACATTAAAATGTGTGTGTGTGTGTGTGTGTGTGCGTGCGTGTGTGCGTTCTGTTCACAGAAACCTTTACCATGAAACGACCACAGTTTTGGGCACCTACGCCGGCATTGCGCACGACCAGCTTTACCACTTTTTTCACCATTAATGTTCTGAACTTCCTCAGCTCCGTTGTCTGACCGTTAAAGACCATTCAAAGGCCCAAACAGCGACATGAATCCAAGAAACTTTGACGCAGGACAGCTCAGATCCATGGACTATCATATCTTACCTGCTGAAGATCACCATTTGAGTATTTGAGTGGAGAAAAATGGTTTTGTTTCTAACTGGATTGATAAGCTAAAGGCTAGTTGCAGTTTGCCATCTTAAAACAACTTTATCTGAAATGTTCCTTAGTGATTCAGGCAAATTCTTCCTTATCTACCTTTACACTGATGTAAAGTATGCATTATATGATCATTCTAGCAGAAATTTTATGAAATTACACCTGGAAGGGAAGCTAGTGGATTTAGCTATGCTGCTAAGCTAAGCTAAGCTAGGCTAAAACAACTAACAAAGTTAACACAATATGTGCAGTTCTTATCGGACTCTAAAAATAAGCATTATTGTTTTATCTTATTGGCAGATATATATGCTAGCTAGCTAGCTAGCTTACCTATAGTTTTTCTGTAACCATAGAAGAACCATGAAACAAAACTAATTACATTAGTGTAAAGTTGATTAAATAGCTTGGATTAATTTTGTAGAGAGCAGAGTTGTTTAATGACAGCAGTAACATGATTCACTGTTACTAGTGGTTAGCTCATCAATCTGATCAAAGTTAATCTGTTTCTCTAAAGCAAGTTGGTCAAACCATCATTTCCTTTGGATAAATTGTTAAAATGTCTGTAACTTTTGCACAGAAACCCACTAAAACCACCTCAAACAGCAGCTACAGACGTGATGAACGCTCTACTCTTTATGGTAGTTTCTCAGGAGGGGTGGGGCCTCAACTAAACACTCAACTTCCTCCTTAAAAACATCTCTAGCACCAGCTACTGGTGATTTGTTTCTTCATCGTTGCTTCAGCCGTTCACACAGAGTACATTTACATATTTGTGTCACATCATAAAATAAAGTATTTATACACAAAAGGGTGTCTGTGTATTATTTAAGAAACATAATTGTAACGTTAGCTGTCGGTGGAGGGACTGGGACACAGAATGAATCTGCAGAGAGGTGCAGGTCTGAATGGATGAAAAGATTTACAAAACACACACACACACACACACACACACACACACACACACACACACACACACACACACACACACACACACACACACACACACACACACTCTGAGCCAACAGCCGAGACCGTGAAGGCTTCTTTGTCGTGCCGACGAGCGCCGATGCGAGACCTTTTCATGGAGTCATGAATGTGTAGATCTACAACATGTAGACACGTCTAAAGCTGTAAAAACAAAAGAGATAAATTAGCTTCCGAAGGATCTGATCATCAACTTTTGTACGGAGAAAGAGAAGTGGAGCCAGAAGATGCTCTGAGTCTAACAGCAGATGAACTAAACACATCTATTTAACCCTTTGATGCATAATGGTCACTACAGTGGACAGGTACTCAAAATTGTTATTTATTTATTTTTGCTATTAAGCACAGCTGTTGAAGACTTTATTGTATGTGAGCCCCTCCATTGGGGCTTCAGCAAGTCAAGCCAACATATTTCATGTTCAGAATGCACGCTGTCCACTGAGGTGGACATTTAATAAACTATTTGTAAATTAACAAAATGTTACAAAAATTATTTGTTGAAATTTGTTTCATTCACACATAAAGATGAATGAAAACAATTGTTTAAAAAATCATGGTTGAAGATTTCATAATTCATGCATCAAAGGGTTAAATCCATTATATCTGCAGATAGATCTGTAGCTATAGATATTGATATATAGACAGGGCCAGATTAACACTTTGTTGTACCCTAGGCAACAATGTTAAAGGGCCCCATCATCACGACCCGATGATAACCATAATGTGGTCACATACAGAATATTTTACTGTAATATGCAGTAAATATACTCAATACTTGAATGCCTGACATCACGTAACCCACTCAGGGTAACCTTTGACCCACCTTGTGTGGACTGACCAATGAGGAGAGGGTCTTAACTTGAGGCCCTCTCTTCATTGGTCAGTCTGCATGAGACTGACTCTCAACTGACGCTCAAAGTCATTGGCAGCGAAGCATCTCTGTGCAGCGCAAAAGCCCCGGTGGACAGTTTGTTTATATGGTGACCATATTTCCATTTCCAAACAAGAGGACAGGGGATCTGTGCCTATGACGTCACACTATGGCAACGCCACACAAACCATGTTGGGACCCATTTTTGGTAAGAACTAAATTAATATCAGATTCTGCCAATAAAAGGACTCTAAAACAATTCATGTGTAAATATTTAGCATATTTATTGCAAAATCTCATTTTTCTGCTTTAGTGCTGCAACAAGGTTTTATTAATAATAAATTATTATACCTTTTGGTTTACTACAGCATCGGTAAGCTTCCTGTGCACAGATTATTAAGGATGCTTGTTTCAGCTGTGAGATTAGATGATAGGATCAATGAAAACATAAGTTGTCACACACTCCATGGAAACTTTCAGAGAATCCACAAAAAGTGGCTTTCAAATGGTTTTGTTACTTTTTGCAAGTTTAGAAAAGCAGCAGATGAGACAGCATGTCTGATAATTTAGTTCTTCATCTGATAATATTAGAACATGTCAGTAATGTCTGAGGGACTTTTATAAACACTGTATAACTAATACTGCTGGAGAGGGTATGAACAGAGGCTTCTGGGGAGCCCAGTTATTGGGGGGGGCTTGGCCCCCAAAATGTCTTGAAACGGCCCTGGGTGTGTGACTGAGTTTTGAAGGTGATCTGAATTGTATCAGATGTATAAATATTACATGTGTATAACTTATTGTTTCATACAGGTAGAGACATGTAGTGGAGATAAATCTACCGACATTTTACTTTTCAACACTTTGTTTTGTTTTCTTGTTTTTATTTAACTATTTTCCTGTCCTGTCTGTCTCTCATCTTCCTGCATCTCCTCTAAACTCTCCAGAAAATCTGTTGCCTGGATTCTTACTTTTTCACCTCATCAATTACTTTTGAGCAGACCAAAGGGATCTCCTGACCGCAAAGCGTAGAGCGCGTTTCGATGCTGCGTCAGTGAGGTGAAATCACCGCAGCACAGGTGATGAGCTCCGCAGTGGCAGAGCACTTCACGCACAAATGAGACAGAAAATAGAGAACATGTGCGGACATGAACGATTGTGTGCTAATTATAGATTTTTGGTTGCGCCACTTTGAGAATGAACCGTGCGCTGGACGCAGCAGCCTGGAGCGCTGCGCCACAATGATCAGCGCTCTGCCGCTCTCTGTGCTCTCTTCTCGGAAGAGTCCATGAATGATGTAACATAGGTAGAAAACTTTTTTCCGGCTCCCCTGGATGTGTAGGATATACAGCTCCCCCATAATTTGATCCCTGCTCCTGGATGAAAAGCCGGACATTTTCATCAATACAAGAACCCCCCCAGTCCGGACGCCCGGACAGAGAGTGAAATGTGGACATGTCCGGAGAAAACAGGACGTACGGTCACCCTAGTTTAATATAAAGCGGGAGATTACAGACACAGTAATTTGCTCGTGCTCTTGCTGCCCTGGGCCCTTTAGAGCTCGTGGGCCCTGGGCAATTGCCCAGTTGCCCGTATGGTTAATCCGGCCTTGTATATAGATATGCATTTATTATAATAAAACACAGAAGAATCGTTTCTTTCTTTCTTTCTTTCTTTCTTTCTTTCTTTCTTTCTACATGTTTCGACTAAAGCCTCTAGTCATCAGGGCTCACCGGTGATGGTGGCGTCACTTCCGTTTATCTGCGAGCAGCAGAGGACGGTGTCACCTTCTACTGCCTGCACAATTTACTAAACCCTGGCATCCCTTTGCAAAACAACCCTGCCATCAAATCTCGTGACATGTTCACAAAATGAAACGCGTTTTCATTTGGTAAACGCAGGCATATTTAAACCTGACACACACACACACACACACATGCCATCCACTGAATAGACACAAGTAGCTTTTGGCTGAACACTACCACTGAAGAGCAAAACTGAAAACACAATTAGAGAAATGGAGCACACTGAATCTATTACAACGCCCACTTCTCTCATAGACAAACATTAGACATCACACAAACTTTGAGACAAAACATTTTATTTTGACACCCCCCCCCCCCCCCCCCCCCCTCTCCCATTCAAGCATAATCATGGGGCATCATGCCTCCGGTCTCTGGCCAGAGGGCCTCGTCAACATCACAGGTGATGTCCTCCTCTTTCTCCTCCTCCCCGTCCTCCTCCTCCTCCTCTTCCTTTTCCCCGTCCTTCTCTTCCTCCTCTTTCTCCTCCTCCCCTTCCCTGTCCTCCTCTTTCTCCTCCTCCCCGTCCTCCTCCTCCTCCTCTTCCCTATCCTCCTCTTTCTCCTCCTCCTCCCATACATACCCCTCTCCTTCTCTGTTGTCTCTGTTCTCCATTGCTCATCAAACAGAACAGAGCATCCAGCCTCCTTTCATGCTGAAGTCCCTGATTGCAAACTGCTCACCAGACCTGAAAGTTGTGAGATTTGAATATTTGTGTGTTGTTAATTGAAGCTTTGAGAATTTATGTGGAAAGTGTGTGTAAACCTGAAAATTGTGTGCCGTGTTTTGACAGCAAGGTAACGTGAAATTGACATCAGAGTGTAACGGAGGAAACTCAGAGTTCTAATATGATAAGGAAATCTTAAGAAGTGATAAACTGAGTCAAGCGATTGGGAACAGAAGTAGAGGTTGTGAAAATTATGCCTCATTTTTGCTTTTCGAGTTTTAGCAACCTCACTGGCTTCTTCTCTTGTTGTTCTGTAGATCCTTAACCTTTTCTTCCACTTTTTATTGTGATCTTTTCAATCATCTATTTTCATTGTTCTTGTGAAGTACCTGATTTTTTTTAAATCTTGAGAGGTCATATTTAAAAAAAACTTTCTTCTTCTTCTTCTTCAAAACTATACCCCCACCCCCCCCCCCAAAAAAAAAAACACTCAAATACCTACCCAAAATCTAAATGAACAAAAACCTCCTGGATTTGTTGGACTGTAATTTTATGAAAAAACATTTTTGCTCAATTGCGTTACAGGAAACGATGCGTCACTCTGGATGAACACGCTGCTTACGGGAGGTGTTGAGAACGTCTCTGATAAGATCTACAATCAGAGTTATTACAGGGATTAAAGCTGAAGGTTAACTGGAGCTAAACAATAATGAAATGGTCAGTTCCACCCACTGTTCCGAAAACGCCTGCAGGTATAAAACACACATGTTTACACGCTGCAGCTACAGAAGAACCGACACAACAAAATGCATCTTGTCCTCCTGGCTGCTACGCTGGCTCTTGCAGGTATGTGAGTGAAACGTATCTGAAGCTAAACAATTTACCTTTTTCATTTATTTTTATTTATGCTGACGGTTCTTAGGTGCACACCCCCTACACGACCCAAAGGAGTGCCAGCCTCACTCCAGACCCTGGCATGTTAGGCTCCAGGGAGGAGCGTCCTGCAGCGGAGCACTCATCAATGAGTGGTGGATAGTGACCTCCTTCAGCTGTGCACTATCGTAAGTGAACCAAAAATGTTGCATCCTTTTACTTTCAAATTTCTCAACAAATGACACCCAGGGCTAGGGTTAAAGAAACCAGACAAGCATACGGACATATTCGATGTAGCGCACTAGACCTTAATCAACCGGTTGTTGTGTCTGATGAAGGCATGAAGGTTCTTAGCCATGGACTCTTTTTTTCAGCCCAGTTTTGATGATTAAAGACCCTCTCCGTTGGTCTTTTGCAGCTCCTACAACACGATTGTCTCTCTTGGAGAACACGACAGAACTGTGGAGGAAGGCACAGAGCAGCGCATTCCCATAGCCGACGTGATCCTCCACAGTCCCTACCGCTCACCTATCCATAGCCTCGCCCTGGTGCGTCTGGCCGAGCCCGCCCGCATCGACCAGTACGTCCAGCCCATTCCTCTGCCCAGCCGCTGCCCAAAACCTGGGGAGACCTGCTCCGTCAGCGGCTGGGGCTCCACCACAGCCAACCAGTGTGAGTGAATTTCGAGGTGCCAATGTAGAACCTCATTCATTTTAAAAGCTCTTTAAATGTCATGCTCTGAACATCAGCCCTCTCACTTCAAACCAAACATCGCCATAAAATGACACGGGCACAAACTCGACATCCCCAGCGACTCACAGATAGCAGACAAAGACTGCATCCCTCTTTGGCCTTTCTGAAAGGAGAAAACCGACAACCCCCTAGCTGGCTGGCAAAGAACTTCACTCAGTGCGTTTACATGCGCATAAAAAAACAAACTTTTGCCATAAATAGACTGAAGTTGTTTTTTTAAATGCAAGTAAACACGTTTGTCTTGCTGAAGGTGAATTGATTCTAATCGTGCTAAAGCACCCAGATAATGCAGTAGGAACCCGAATGCATCTGCATGTAAATGGCTCTGTCGAGCTGATACCGGTGTTTCCTGGAGGTGACGCTACAGCGTAAGCAGCCCCAAAGCAACACGCGAAACACCAACAAACAGTACAGCACGCATCAAATGTGCTGCAGCGTTGTTGTTGTCCATTCCTTCGACCATTGTGCATTTCCTATTTTAACATCATCTGCTTCACTCTAGCTAGCTTTTGTTTACTACTCGAGTTGCTATAAGCTAACCAGGAGAATGCGACACAGAGGGGTGCATGTCACCACCCACTGTACCGAAGTGGAACAAACTTCATTTGAGGGTTTGGTTTCCTAACGAACATGTAAACTAGGATCAAGGCTCACGGGTTATCACCTTAGATCACACATGTCAGAGTCGCGGCCCACGGAGCATTTTTATGTGGCCCGCGAGATAAATATCAAAAATATATTAAAACTGGCCCGCTGGCCGATTTTACCGCAAAGACTTCAACTCCCATGATGCTTTGCAGCGTCAGCGCGGAGGCGACGCGCCCCCTCCTTTGTGTTTTTTCCAGCCCGAGCCAGTCAGGGGTAGTTGGGTGTCTGCAGCTCCGCTGTCTCGGACAAACTACACTCCTCTCACTCAGCGCCGAGTTCACTCAGCTGTTTTCTGACGTTGAAGCCCAGAAATGGAGATTCTAGCCGCTCAGTAATGTGTTCACGACTGAAAGAGAAAGTTTTCCAACTAACGTCCAGACAGAGCTGATATAACTCCAGCGAGCAGCGACACGCTCAAACCAGCATGACTCTGGTTGTGTTTCCTCCCCGACACACAACAACACGGTCAAGCTGCTCAGACATGTTCATCAGCACAAACCTATGTGAGCACCTGTTATCTAATGTTGTCATTATTATGATGAAGATGAACAAAACAACAGGAGTCTCCTCCTCAGCTCAGATCAACCCCATGATGCAGGTATCTGGCTGGAACAGGTGAGCATCACAGTAAACCAGTGGAGCAAACTGAGCTTTAAATATGTTGGTTTTATGCTCTTTTTCTGCTCCAAAACATGAAAGTTAACAGGTGAGATGTTGCATTTTCATTTAAGATAAAATGATATTTTATTTTGTTGTTGGCCTGTGAGAAAAGATTTAACCTACAGTAAACAGGAAGTGGAAAGGCTGCAGATAGATGAATAGAATAGAAAATCCCTTTATTGTTCCTCAGTGGGGAAAGCTAGACGTCACAGCAGCGATGACACTTATTACAGGAGAAAAAAAGGAGAATAAAAATAAAAAAATGAATAAACAAGAAAACATAAATCCTGAATAGATTTTAAAAATGCTGATTATACCACAAGTAATGAATACCACTGATGCCTTTTATTTAAAACTGACTTGCTCGTGTGTAATTTGGTTATTCCACATTCAGTGTTAATGCAGAAGTAAGTTTGTTTCCAAATTTAAAGGTTCAAAATTGCATATATGTTGATAAAGAAAATGTGCAAATTTGCCGTCACTTTTTCAAAAAATATTAAGTTTGGCCCTCGACTCCGTCCCAGAGTTTCATTTCGGCCCCCTGTGAGTTTGAGTTTGACACCCCTGCCTTAGATCAACCTACATCTATTTAGATGTGCGTGTGATAACTGAATATTAAGGAACTAGGATTGGATCAATATTACATGTAACTTGTACAAAGCTTTGCAACCTGTAACATGTTTTGAAACTGTAACTTTCATTTTGTAGCACTTAATTCTTGTTTTGTAACACGCAACATGAAACATTCATTTTGTAACTTGCAAAAAAAAAAAAAAAAAACCAATGTACAAGTTTTAAATCCCAACTCTCAAAACACACATCTCAGTCTACACTTACAAAACTCAAGTCTACACGTACAAAACGTTTTGTCCCAATTCTAGGCTTGCTTCCCAAACAACCAATGACAAGCTATGTCTGACCAGCCAATCATGAGTCTTGGATTCCTGTCCAAGACAATTCCTGTTGGAAGTAAGCTAGAATTGGGACACAATGTTTTGTACTTGTAGACTTGAGTTTTGTAACTGTAGACTGAGATTTGTGTTTTGAGAGTTGGGATTTGAAACTTGTACATTGATTGTTTTTTTGCAAGCTACTAAACAAATTTTCATGTTACGTACCAAAGTTACATGTTACAAAATGAGAACTGCGTGCTACAAAACTAATTTACCTGTTACAAAACAAAAGTCACAGTTACAAAACATGTTACAAGTTACAGAACTTGGTACAAGTTAAATGTAATATTGTCCCAATCCTAGTTCCATAGCATATAGCCTTCCTTCCAGCATGATTGAGACATCAGACATTCGTTGTAAAATTCTAACAAATTTGTACCTTTAATGACAAAATTTTAAATTTAAACCTCAATTTCATCATCATGTGTTGTGTGGTCTTTGTTCAGTAACCATTTCTTTCAACCAGCCGCGCAGAAAACTCAAATTCTGGTAAATGATAAAAGGCCTGCATTTGATATGGCACCTTCTAGAGTCCTGGGACCCCCAAGGCGCTTTACAACACACTCAGCCATTCACCCACTCACACACACATTCACATGCTGGTGGTGATGAGATACATTGTAGCCACAGCTGCCCTGGGGCTCACTGACAGAGGCGAGTCTGCCGTACACAGACACCACCAGCAGGCAAGGGGGGGGGGTTAATTGTCTTGCCTAAGGACACAACGGCAGGGACGAACTGAGCGGGCCTCGAACGTGCAACCAAAATTTGCAGGACCTTTTCAAACAATGACTTGTTTCAGCTAAGGTCTAGTCATCATCAGAGTTCGCCGGTGTCCGTTTATCTGCGGGCAGCAGAGGACGATGTCCTGAGGATAAACGGAAGTGACGCCACCAACACCGGCGAACTTTGATGATGACTAAAGTTATCAGTCGAAACATGTAGAACAAAGTACTGGATTGTGAAGTTAAACAGAAAAAATGTACAAAAGAGAATAAAGAGGCTTTTCTATCGTTTTGATGTACAAAATAAAGATGGTGTATTACCTCCTTAAACAAGCTTTAATCCAGCTGAATGTTGTTTGCCTTAAAGGCAAAAACCACATGACCTATCACTAGATTTTATTAATGTAGCTTTGTGTTTTTGAACGCAGCTTCTGTAAAAAGAAATTGTTTATTATTTTATTCCTATTGACTTTGCTGCAACACCACTCAACCACTGCATCGTTTTCTGAAGCTGAATGAACAATTTAAAAAAAAAATAAATTTTATGGTTCGAGACTGAATCTGTGTGTTAAAATTCAATATTTTAATCAACGTTAATGAAAACCTAACAAAGCACACAAATCCTATTCACATCATGCAGCTGCAAAAGCCTCACGAAAGGCGCTGATATCTTAAAGCCTCATTAGTTTTGTTAGTGTCTCCCTGAACTTCTGTTAGTTTTGGTTGCAAATCCTTTTCATGCATACAGAGCTAAAACTAAAGAACTAAAACATCAAAGAACAGAAGACATCGAGCTTGCTGCATTGCTCAGGTAAACATTTCAGTCATTAGCAATTTCAATCTAATTGATATTTCGGTCTTTTCAACTCCAACAAAGCATGAATAAATATTTTTAATCGTGACCTTTTCAAATCAGTTTCTAAGTGCTCTTCAAAATGCCCAGTCAGTGATCAGAAACAGTGGAAGCTGGCTGAAAACGTGCACCAGGACTGTGCTTTCTACTCCACATAAACGCTTAATGGAAGTGATTCAAGACGACTTGAGAAACAATGGACTTTACTAACCTGTACCCGAGAGCTCAAGTACTCCACTTGAATGACTCATTAACAGCTTTTCATCGTCCCGTTCCAAACAGACGAGCCCTCTCCAAGACTCAAGTGCATAACTGTGCCCATCGTGGATGATCTGACGTGTGTGAACACTTTCCCTCCTTATCTCTACTGGGGCGTTATGGTCTGCGCTGGTCAAGCAAACACAGATAACTGCCTGGTGAGCACAGCAACCAGATGAACCGATGCTGATTAGTGTTTTATTGTTTTCCAACGAGTGGCACTGATTCTCTACAAACACCAAACGTTTGTATTCTGTCCTGTTTCTGTAGAGTGACGACGGCAGCGTGATGGTGTGCGGTGGCGAGCTGCAGGGCGTCACATGGTTCAATCACGGCTGCACAAACGCAGCTCATCCCACGGTTTACACCAAGATGTGTGACTACAACGGTTGGATCAATGAAGTGATGGATCAGTACGCACCAACCGAGCTTCCATCGACAACGTTTAGCGGCACAGAGGCGTGAAGCTTTTAATTCACCAACGAGTCTGACGAGACTGTCATAAACCAGGTGGAATACTTGAAATCATTTTAATCAACAATGCCGTGTTAATTCTCACACAACATTGTGAAAATAAATAAAATATGTTTTTCAAGTTCTGTTTTGTTTCACGTTTGCAGCACAGCTGTGTGACCCGGAGTTACAGTGAGAGGTTTTCGTGTTAATTAACTGAGTCATTTCTTCCAGGTTTAAATGATTTAACTATAAACGACTTCAGTGATTAAAAAAATCTTTACGCAGGAGTTTGATTTCATTCTGGGTTTTATTCTCTTCCTCATAGGGTCATATTCACACATGCAGGCTCACATTTATGTGCACATTCACCTAAACATTTTAATAAGGGTTAGGGTAACACGTTACAATAAGGGTCCTTTATTAATGTTAATAAACATTACTGTTACTGTTAACTACTAAGTGTCCTTAAGGTTAGGGCAATGGCCCAGGGGGGTGTCTACTTAGTGATGCACTACATAACATGGTCAAGCTGTTTTTAATACGTTATTCAAAAGCTTATTAATGCTTAATAATGCACTAAGTAGCATTAATAAAGCCTAATTTATACTTCTCCGTCTGCGTCGAGACGGACGCACGCAACGCCATTATCCGTCCTTTCGAGGGCTCTCCAGCAGGCTCACAAGGACGGGCGGAGTCGAGTTCTCCTTTCTAAACATCCGTCCGTCGAGATGGAAAACGCAAGCTTGTGATTGGTCAGGACGCCGCTGTCGTCTACAGCACCACCATTGTGCCCTCAAACACATAAAGAGAGCCGAGGATATCTAACGGCAGACACGGAGAAGCTTGAAGAATACCTCGCTGACAAATTCTAAAAATATTAACATTTTATTCCCTGTGACTGGAGGAGTGAAACGATACGCAGCAAGCGTTTTTTTTTTCGTAGACAGAAATGATGGGAAATGTGGGAATAGAGGTGGCGAGCGCATGAAGAGGTGGAGGAGAATGAGGGACAAATTTGTCAATTAAAAAAAAGTCTCTTAAATACAAAAAAACAAAATATAAACACTATCTTGGATCAGCCATTTAAAATCATTGGGGGCAACCCCCTTTGGGGCCACCATGGAAACGTGGGCAAAACCAATTGGGACCCACAGGATACCACAGAACAGCGCTACGCCCTCTGCTGTCCTGGCAGGGAACTGCTTTGCAACTCTCCCCAGGAGACGGAGAGGGTCTCCTTGTGTGTCTCTTCCTCATGGAGCTGATGGAGAAATCAGGCTTTATTGTAAAGTGTTACTGACCTAAGTAAGTTTATCATGAACTTGATACTGCTGGAGTAACACTCAGCTAGCAAACATAAGAGGGACACATGTGGAATATATATGTGCAAACAGTATGGGTCCCATTTGGTTTTGTCCACGGTTTCCATGGTGGCCCCAAAGGGGGCTGCTCCCAATGATTTTTAATGGCCGATGTCTGAGTCAAAACACCTGAAGACCCATGTAGGACCTGTTAAAATCCATGTGGGCAAACCCCTGTAAGGCCACCATGGAAACTGTGGACAAACCCTGTTGGGACCCATAATGTTTGCCCATGTATATCTATAAGGGACCCACCTATGCATGATGGCTAATGGACTAATACAAGAGTAATTCAAACTAAGAGCAGACCCCACTGAGGGCCACCATGGAAGCTGTGGAAAAAGCCAGTTGGGAAGAAGAAGAAGAAGAAGAAGAAGAAGAAGAAGAAGAAGAAAAGATCTTCTCTATAGCGCCTCTCAAGATAAAAATCACGAGGCGCTTCACAAAAACAAAAAATGTAAAATATAAAAAAGAATTTAGAAAATGATTAAAAATATATTTAAAATGAACAAAAAATAGACAATTGTGATTAAAAAATGTAAAGAGAGAGAGAGAATAGGAAAGAGGGAAATCTGTGGATCCTGAGGAAGGTGGAATAGGTGGGGAGAGCAGAATAAAGAGAGAGTGGTGATACAGGTCATACAAAAGCCAGCTTGAACAAGTGAGTCTTCAGCTGCTTTTTAAAGGAGACCACTGAGTCCACTGATCTCAGGCTCAGGGAGAGAGTTCCAGAGTCTGGGGGCCACAGCAGCAAATGATCTGTCACCTTTGGTCTTTAGCCTGGTGCTGCACAACCAGTAGGCTTTGGTCACTGGACCTCAGGGACCTGCTGGAGGTGTAGGGACTAAGAAGATCACCAATGTAAGAAGGTGCTTGTCCATGTAAGGCCCTATAGACCAGAACCAGGATCTTGAAATGAACCCTGAAGTTGACTGGCAGCCAGTGAAGCTGGAGGAGAAGCGGGGTGATGTGGGTGTGTTTGGAGGACTTGGTCAGAAGCCGAGCACAGGCGTTCTGAACCACCTGTAGACGGTTCAGGGAGGTTCTGCTCAGACACGTGAAAAGAGAGTTACAGTAGTCTAAGCGTGAGGAGATGAAGGTGTGGAGAAATGTCTGACGCCCACATATATCTCATATGGGGCCCACTTATGCCATTGTAATACCACCATGACTCAAAGGTTATGATTAAAACTACTGATGTCCTAAATCCATGTTCCTGTTATTTCACGAGTAAAACACCAAAACCATAACTGAAGTGTGAGATCCTTGGTGGAAACAAGCAGCATAAATCAAATAATGCAAATACAATTAAAACTTGCATCACCTTTAAAAAAGTTTTGACCCATCTCTGTGGAACATGTCGGGCTCTTTTCATCCACAGCCTGCAGTGTTGAATGCATGATTGGATTTAACGTTCATGGCTGTAGCAAAGCTCTGAATGTGTCTTGGTGTTGTTGCAGAGCGGAGATAAACGACGAGGCTAAAGACTGATTACGCATTCGTTTTGGGGCTGTTCTACTTTAGATTCAGTAGTTTACCTGATGTGAACAGTAATCCTCTGAGGCTCAACAATCCGCTGTGAGCTGGATAAACGTGTGTTTGGACGGGATCAGATGCTGCCAAAACCACACAAGTTAAGTTACTAATATTCATAAAACCTGAGTTGATGGCATCCGATTGACGGTGGCTGCAAATGTTTTTCAGGGGGTTTGTGTGAACATGCAGAAGCAGAGCAGGGCCGTCCACTCAAACGTTTTAGACGATGAGGGAAAAAAGCAACAGAAGTTCCACAGGAACCACTATAAGGCTTTTTTTAGAGAAGCTTAGAGATCATTCTGTTTGACAAAGAGACATTTTAAAGGTCTATTAAGTCTCTAGCAATGATCTATGTGTTGAAAATGTGCATCAAGTGATCAGCTGCCTAACAGTAGCCAGTAAAAATGTATAGCGCCACTAGAGGGAGATAAAGTCCAATGAACAAAGAGCAGAGCAGTTGTTCCAAAACTCCAGCTTAAAACCAAGACCCCCACATATCTCTGATTTGATGACACAAACATGCTTAAAAAGCTAAATAATTCATGGTATAAAGAAAATATTTACTCAGATCTATTGCAGGTTTTTAAAGACCAAGTTCACTCTCTTTTCCAACACATTTGCAGTAATCTTTAGTCTAAATGAATACGTTTTGAGTCGATCTGTCATGACTCCCATCCTTCACCCTCCTCTGCCTCCTCATTCAACCTTATTCAGCTCACCTGGTCCCCTCATCAAGCTACAGCCAAGCCCTAGTTTCCCTAGAAACCTCAGTCAGCACCACAATCAACTCCATTCATCTCACCTGTTTCGGTAATCAGCTTCATCCACTTCACCTGCTCCCCCTGCTATTTATTCACCAGTCCGCCGCCAGTTCTCCGCCAGATTATTGAAGACTTCGTGCCAGTAAATTCTCCAGCAATTCACCCTGCCTGATCTCTGCCTCCGGACCTCGTTTTTCTCCTGACCCCTGCCTGAACTCTGCCTGCCTCCACGACCTTCGCCTGTCCTCAACCTCGCCTCTTGCCTGTTCCCCGTATCTGCATGTCCGATCTGGTTTTGACCCTCGCCTCCTCTTCGACTCTGTCTCCAGCCTCGCCCAACTCTGGTAACTCGGCATCCTAATAAAGACTTTTTATTTTACTCTCATTGTGTTTGGCGTCTTCACGGGTTTTCCTAGTTCAGCTCATGACACGCTCTCTGTAAGATAAAAGCTCTTGCGCTCCTGTTTCAGGCACTAGAAGTTAGCAGAGGTCGGCAGGTTTTGGAGTTTCCTGTTATTCTGACGTTTTGACTCTGATTCTCGTCCACAAATAACACAAGCCTGAAGAAGTTCAGCCATGTTGGGGAGTTGCTAAGGCTAACAGCTAGCTTAAGTTAGCGAGAGGTGCTCAGCTCTCTCCTCGACTCCTGAGCTTGAGCCAGGATGAGTGAGTCCATGAACGCCAACTTTCAGCGTGAGATAGCTTTGACTTTTCTAATCCGAGCGTTGTCCCGTCTATTTTCTATCGGTAAGCGGGAAACAGGGGCAGAAGACCATTTTCACATTTAGCCTACATGTTAAACTCAGAATGAGTGACTGCATTTAAAAAATAACAAGTAAAAAAATGTTTTTTCAGTGAACTTGTTTTCTTTTGAGGTTTTATCTGAGCTCTACAAAGACACCGAGACACCCTCAGAACTATGCCACAGCCATAAACTCATGGGTGTGCTCTAATGTTCCAATGACACAGATGACATGGAGGACACACGAGGAGAGTCAAAGATTCACACCAGCACACAGATGCATGCGCAGAGACACGAAATCAAATAGACGCACTTACACACCTCCATGCAAAGTGACGGACAGCTGTGTCCATAATCACACCGACCAGAGGCCACTCTGCCATCTGTTCCCAGCCTCTCTGCCCCTCTCCTACTTTTTCCCATCTCAGCAGGAGACAGAAAGCACACAGAGGGGCCGACTTTGGAAGCCAAGGATATCACAACAGCGATCAGTGTGATAATAATTAGTGTAGGGGTTTAGGGGCTTCTGAGGTGTGGAGTCTTCCCTTTGGTTTGGATAATATCGCTCACAATTAAATATTTAATCAAAGCTCAATCAGAACATCAAGTCAACAAACGTCGACTGGTACAGAAATCACAGCTTTACTTATTTCTTTGAGCAGAAATGATGTACTTTATAAAACTGATCAGTAACTTTTTTGGATTATTGTGAATCACATATTTTTTTCCATTATAAAATTAGC